ATCCAGAACCAATTTGTTAAATTTAGGAAAATACTAGAAGTTCTCTTTCAACGAAGTTGAAAAGACTCTTTTCTAAACCAAAAGCAATTTTTCTAGTAAGTCTTCTGGATTGTTTCTTTTGTATAACACTGATAAAATCTATCACGAAAGTCACGGCAAAACTAAATTATTATCATACAGATACATCTTGTTGTTATTGGTGTTGCAGCGGCATTTATATAATTTCTGAGAACGATGGCGCGTTGACTACTACCTCTTTTATCTCGACTGGCACAAAATGGCCCCCATGCAGTCTGCTGTGCAATATATGTATGTATGCTTATGTTTGGCACTCTCTTCGGCATGAAGTCAGCTCCGTATGATTTCTTTCTCTTCCAAATATATGAGAATGAATATTTTTAATTGTATCATACTAGTCAATAAAAAAAATTTGGTTTCTGAAAAACACTCGAATTTTTATTCTGATTCTAGGTATCGAAAAATGTTTAATATACTATAACACTAGTCAACATACCAAAAACTTTTTTTTTTTTTCATTTCCAAATTCTGATTTCTACATAAGAAAACAAAATATCACTTATTTTTGTTGTAAGTTAGAAGGAACTTCAATTTAACATACAGAAGTCAGACCCAAAAATCATGTCGATCGGTGTAATGGGCGAAATATTAAAAAAAAAAATACAAATAAAAAGTTAAAAGCAGTGAGCTTAAATAAACAATAAAAAAATAAAGCTTGACTACAAAACCATTCAATATTGAAGAAATGCAGGGCAATCATTAAACTAGAGCTTCAAATAAGATTAATGAAAAATGAATTAATAGAAATTAAACAATGAATAAATAGATAACTTAATAAAATATGAGTATAAGCATAAAGTATGTACGAGCAATCTATCTAGAAAAAAACAAGATTTGAAAATAAAAATAAACATACATACACACCTATTCATACATAAAAAATTGCATATATGTTTGAGATATACAGTTTCACATAAGAAAAGAAAATAATATGGAAAAAAATATGTGTTAAACTATTCATTGTGTGCCAAATGAGTGCCCAACGCCTGAAAGAATGCCTCGAAAAATTAAAAATAAACTTTAAAATCAATGCAATAGCACTAAAAAAATTGTTGTTGTAAAAATAATTTGTGAACATACATATGTATTGCCACTAAGTAATTGCCTATAAACGGCGTGCACAAACAACACATGCGCAATCAAAGACATACACCAACACATGTGTTGAGTGCTTACAAGTACGACAAAGTGCAGCTATGTGTTTTAGGTGAAGTTAAACACTCTTTAAATGAAGGCATTAAAACAAAAGCGAATTTACTAGTAAAACAAATTTAAAAGATAAATATAAATAAATTTAAAACGTAACAATAAATACGAAAATAACGCAGCAACGAAATTTATGGTTCATCATTGCATAATCTATTTGCATTAAATAATGAATAAGTAGCGAAATAGGTTAGTAAATCGTTCATAAAAAAGTTTCAGATGCGAAGCAAAGAGTTCATTTATATTTATATACATATTTTTAATTATTTCACATTTTTAGAAGTATGTCATAAAAGGAGAAATAGTATACCACTAAATTAAAAAAAAACTATTATATATAAATTTAAATATATAAATTTAAAAAAATACTCTCCATTCTTACAGGCGTATGTACATGCATTCATATAAGCGCATTTGACATAGATACTTTTCAAAAATTAAGTATATATGCATATATATGTGATTTGAGTTATTTTCCATAAAATCATTTCATATGCAATTGATCATTAAAACCAAAAATTTATTTAGTATACATATGCCAGAGATACTCATACCAAAGTTAGTTCACACGGCGTATGAGCAACATTTGCATTATGACTTTGTAGGAGCCACAACATTTGGAAGCAAAATATATCAATAGTTTTTTTTTATTTATTCTTATATGTATGTTAAAAGCACAGTATGCTCGCAATAACAAAAACAAAAATTAAAGATAAAGTATTTTATCACCCAAAGCGGTTTTTTTAAGCTAACTCAGTAGAGAAGAAGATACATATGTATGTATGTCAACAAAAGCCCTGATAAATGCAAAACTATCTACAATTCAAATATAATATTCAATACATGCATACATTGAGCAATAAGCTTATGTAAAAATGGATTTTCCTCCAATATTCGCAAATTTTAACAGAAAATAAAAATTTATCATACTATATACACATACATACAAATACAGTAGTAACAGTACATTGAGCAATAACATGTTCGAACACATAAAAAAACAAAATAAAATAGAAACTATAGGTATGTATACATCGTTCAACAGCAAATATCAGAAAAACCGATTACTTGGTTTTTATCACTCATATTAAGCAAACAATAATCTAGTAAAGTTTACAAACAATTTGCGGTCAAGTGCATTATTGCTTATACATTTAAATACACACATCCATACATACAAACAATACATTAAAGGAAACATAATTAGCCTGCGTTGTTAAGATATATTTATTACTGCATTTAATAAATACGTAGCAGCTGCTTATATTTAATTATATATGCAAATATACACACATATATACATTTATAAATGGTGCATACATACATATAAAAATATTTACTGATTTATTGCATTCAAATTATTACAAACCTAAGCAGCACTGCAGCAAGAAAAAATTAAAAATAAAATTAAAAGAACATTTCAACTGCACATAATAATACCGTGGAACATTTTTGAGATTATTGTCTGGGGGGTGAGAAATTCCAAGTCAGGGTGATGGTACTAGGTCAGTATAGTAAAACACTCAAAGGGTTTGGCGTTCGTATCTGTCAGTTTTTTTTATGACTTTATGACCTCTTTTTTCCTTATCTTGATGTTTTTTCGCTTAGTTGTAACATTTTGGAAAAAATAAAAAAAAAAAAAAAAAAAAAAAAAAAAAAAAAAAAAAACAATTTCCGAGAAAATGTTCCACGGTGCAATAAAACATTATTGCATTAAAATAATAAATAATCTAATGCACCCAAACATGCCTACAAATAGTTTGAAAATAAAAAACAAAAATTATTTGTTGTGTTACGTATGAATACAATTTTTGAGGAGTTAATAAAAATATGTGTTTAGGTATATACAGTATTTAATAAAGAAAAATTATGAAAAAGAAAAATCGCAGTTATTATTCTATAGAGGCATATGTGTAAAAACAACGACTGCTCCCACAAATTAAAATTCCAAACTTGCTGAAAGCCTTCAGGGGTTTTTGAAAGGTTTATTTCAATCAAACGACTCAATATAACCTTTCAAACACAAAAATTTGTTTTGTAAAAATATTTTTTTAATCAAATCTTTCATTGATCTTTCGCTGGCTATTGTCTTCAATATACCTCACAATAAAGTGGATCTTCGAACTTCACCGAATCCAACTTTGTGGAAATTATTTCTTTAATCGAAAAAGTTTCAAAAGCTTAGTATTCTAGCTGTTTCGATTTTTATTACAATTTACACTTAACAGACAACTTAAACATAAAATACATCAATTTAATTCCATTTTTCGGCCGAGATGAACATGTAAAGTGTTACTTTAAGCAACACAAATAGCGAACATATGTCAAAACGTATGTATAACATCAAAAATGGCAAACTTAATTAGTCACAATCCGTAGCATCCGCAATACAATTTTGACAACAGAAAAATTCCTGAATTTCCGATAATATTATCACGCATACTAACTAAATACTTAACTGCTTTCCAACGCTACACAATTCAATCTAATAAATCTACCGCCTAAGCTAATGAGAATATTTCCAGCAGAAAGGTTATCAATTGATTACGACCATAAATTGATCAAATATTTCACAAATAATTACTCTTATGAAACATTAAAGCAATAGCTGTTGTGGTGATATTGACACTTTCGACAGCTACTTCCCGCTCGTGCTATTAGTGACAAAACATGTGTGTAGATTCATACATACAGTAATTAGAAACGAACAAAAAACGTATCAGTCAATATCGCTAAAAATAACAGTTTTGTATATGTTTGATTTGAAATGATTCTATATTCAAAAATGTTTGCTGATGCACATGAAAATTTTGAATGAAGCGTATTGTTCTTGGCCAATTTTTTTTTACTTTAAAGCGGTTTAATTAAGGTCTATTCGTGCTTCCGTTTGATCGAACGTATTGAAGTAACCATACACTTCGTTACTGATTCTAAAAACCAAACGAATCTAGATGACCAAAATGGTCTAGTATCTGTAATGAGAGCTGTATCCAAAGCATTATTATGTTCAAATTATCAGCTCAAAAACTTAGTTACAGCATAAATATTTCATTTGAAGATGTTGCACTATGACCTTGTCATCTTCAGAGGGATCAATTTCGCTTTACTTTTCAATCGAAGGCAAGTAAGAAATGAAGAACAAAATATTTGTGACCCGAAATCAAAATACTTCCATTTCTATATAACCGGAGCGTATCCAGAGTCATACGTGAATAGACAAACGCATATATATAAAGCCTATACTTATTAGTATTCAGATTTGTTTACAATGTAATTATGTGTGTTTACAGTGGAATTAATAGCGCAATATACCAATTCTCACGCCACCAGTCGTCGTGATAAGAAAAACATTTTCATTTGGCTTAACTAACATCAATGTCGTACTTTGGTCTACATTGTATCATCAAACGAGTCATGATTAAATAATCGAGGCGAAACTGAAAGCAAAATATCAAATCTAGCGTTTATCAAACTTAGTACAATACAATAAAACAAATCTAATCAAACTCAATAAACACGAGTACAAATTTTCAAAGGCAGGAACCATTACTACAACTTCCCCTTTCTTTTCTCCATACACAAGCAGTGTCTCACAAGAGGACTCGCATGCGAAACGCGGCAACTGCCCCCAACACACCAGCGCACTTGATTTGACGCAGCGATAAAATTATCAAAAAACAAAAAGGAAAGCAAAAAAAAGCAGTGAAGTGAACGCTCGAGAGGCTCGCGATAAGCAAATCGACGCGACGAACTGACGATCTATCAATTTGGTGATTTAGAGCCACGTTAGCCAATGAACTGGCAGTTGTGCGCGTTAGGCAAAGCCTAGCAGAACGCAACGGATTATCGAGAGAAAGCAGCCATTCCAAGAAGCTGTCTATAGCAAGAGTGAAGCGTGTGTGCAAAAGCAAAGTGTTTCGGTTGTAAAAAGAAGTTCGCGATTTTCAACACTTGCTTTTTATATTTGGGATTTGCTCAGAAAATTATACAATTTTTATGTTGAAGTGAACGCGTTTAAAAATGGATCCCAATACGACGCATAGCGATCTGTATGATTTGCCGCATGGCCAGCCACACGCGCAATCACATATTACATTCGCCAACGATTATGAAAAAGAAAAGGAAGAGTCCACACTGGATGACATACTCATACGCATTGGACAATTCGGTCCATTTCAGCTGATTATATTGCTATTGATATGCATGGCGATGTTGTTTAGCGCGATATTCTCGATTACATATGTATTTACGGCGAGTAGTGTAGTGCACAGGTACGAAAATTAAATGTGAGATTGCAATATCACTAATTTCAAAATGCATTAGGAAGGGTCAATTGCTTCTGCATGTTTAGACATATCCGTTTGTCTATCAGTCTGTATACATAGATGCGAATTAGTCCTTCAGTGTTTGATATATCGACCAGAAATACACACATCCTTTTCACCCCAAGCTGCTAAGGACCGCCGATATCGGATTCCTATAGAATATAGCCATCAAATAAACTTAACGATCAAAACCAAGTCCTTGTATATGTAAGCTTAATATCAACAGACTTACTACAAAGCGCTTTCCAAAGTAAACAGGACTTTTTTAATCTAGCGCCACTGGTGGCACCATCTATATGTCGACTGGTGCGTTAGAATCTGCTATATTTATCGACTGTCCAGTGAGAATTTCACGACATTTCATCGATTGGAAGTGAAGTTATTGCGTTTTAAGTGTCAGAATATTTGGGTTATCGGTGCAAAAATGAGTACAAGAAAAAATAACCCTATCAAGAAGTCATATAGAATTTCGAAAAAATAATTATGAAGACATTCATTACATCTGACCATGACCAGTGACTAGTTTTTCATTACTAGGTAAAAATAAGTGTATGTACAGAGGGTTCCAGGCTGCGACAAGCGATATGAACGATCTTCATAAGAGTATATTTTCTTGTTTCCATGAAATGTAAACCGCGCCTAGTTCGTCGTGATAAAATAATATATGGTTTAATATATGGATACAAATTATTGTTGCCTAAACCCACAAGTAATAAAAAAATTAATTAACCACTTGTTCAAGATCCCTTTTATCTCGCCACTTCTTCATATCAATAACACTTGATCGTTATTTTGATAAGTAGGTACACCCTTCTATAGTATTTATTTACATTTATTATACTAGTAAACTTGCCGTGTAATTGCATTATGTCCCACTTAATAAGTAGTTGAATAATGTCTAGCGTCGGTTGTGATTGCTTAAGGGTTGTAATGAATATAAACTTTTATGTTAATTATAGATAAACGATTTTTATGATTTTATTTTACAAATCATAAAATGAGATCACTCAAACAACAACCAGTGCATAGAATACCCTTCCCAGCACTTTGTGTAACAACTGATCTTACTTCAAGTAGCTTCTTACTTCTTAAGTAACATAAAAAGAAAAAAATTGGAGGAAAAAATTTGTATAAAAGTTAGAAAACGATCTAGTAAAGGAATACCGGCAAGAAAAACTAAAAAATCTGACGGTCGGGACGAGTATCGAATGGTCTATTGGTCATCTCAATGTCTCAATAATAGTAGTATGAATTGAACTGACAAAAACTGTGTTAACAGAGTAATTATATAGCTCTAGGCTGCAGTATGCTTTAGAATATCATGTGCTTTTTTTTATTTGGTTTACCATGAGTAGAGCCAGTTTATTATTTTGTTTCTAAGATTCAGGCGCTCATTTCAAGCGCCAAAGAACTAGAAACCTTTGGAAAAATAAAAATATACCTAAATATTTCTAAATAAGGTTAAAAACATCTTTTTTTAATTGCAAAATTTCTTATTACATATGGTAGATGTAAAATTCCTGAATGCGATAGCGCTTCAAGCAATTACGAGGAGAACTGGACCCAATTTACCATTCCCAAGAAAAATAATGGTTTGGATCAATGTAATCGTTTTGTGGGTAATTATACACAGAATCAAGTGTCACAAAATGAATCACTCGGGTTCTGCTATGCACATAATTTTGACAGCACCCAGAAGGAGCGCTGTTCAGACAACAATTTCATATATCGCGATAAGGAAGTAACTATAGCAAATGAGGTTTGTGGCATTTTTATTAACTAATTTATATAAAAAAAAAATTTGCTTTATTTTCGCGTAGTTCAATATTTACTGCGAGGATGAATGGAAATTGACGCTGGTGGGCACAATAGGCAACGTGGGACAATTTGTAGGCATACCATTGGGTGGTTTTATATCCGATCGGTAAGCTGCTTTCTGAAAAACAAAAAAAAAAAAAAATAGCGGCAATTCAGTACTTTTCTTTGCTTTCTCAGCTATGGTCGACGCACTGCGCTCGCTTATGGTGGTTTCTTTAGCGCACTCTTGGGTTTACTGCGCTCGTTTACGCCCAGCTACGCTTCGTTTCTAATTTTCGAATTTCTAGATAACATTGCGTCGAGTCCTATGTACTCCGTTTGCTTCATTTTGGGCATTGAATTAGTCGGTCCAAAACGTCGTGTTATGGCTTGCAGTCTTATTACCATTTTCTATGCCATCGGCGAGGTAGCACTTGGACTTGTGGCAAAATATTATCAAAATTGGCGTGTCATTTTACGCATTGTTTACATACCGGCCATTGTATTTATCACATATATTTGGATACTACCGGAGAGCATACGTTGGCTGATGAGTCAGGCTAAGGAGGAGGATGCCAAGAACATATTGCAACGTGCTGCGAGAGTGAATAAACGCAAACTTTCCAATGGCTCGCTGGATAAATTGATTTTATCGAATCGCGTGAAATTGGCTACGGCAACAGGTGGTCGTTTTCCAATTATAGAATCTTTTAAAAAACTAACATGGCGCATAATAAATTGTTCCTTCTGTTGGATTATCGTTGTGCTCGTCTATTATGGCATTAGTTTGAATGCGGTGCTTTTGGATGGCAATAAATACAACAATTTCATATTTATTGCGCTTATCGAGATACCTGGCTTCTTTCTGCCGCTCATTATCATGCCTCGCTTTGGTAGAAGGTACTCACTGTGCGGCACAATGCTGTTGAGTGGCTTGTGCTGCTTGATAACGACTTTTCTACCGTCTGGTAAGTGTTTTACAAACAAATGATAAAGATCTCTGATTGATCTAATTAATATTTTTGATATTCACAGATCAGTTCGTTTGGCGTTTAATACTGTTTCTAATTGGCAAGCTGATGATTACGGCAGCTTTTCAAGTGTTGTACTTTTTCACATCGGAAATCTTTCCGACAAATGTACGGAATAGTTTGCTTTCGTTCTGTTCGATGGTGGGTCGTGTGGGCTCTATGTTAGCGCCACAAACGCCGCTATTGGTGAGTATAAGAGCTTAGCCATTATCGATTGAATTTTGAGCACCTTCTTGGGGAGTAAATGAAGTTCCAGTTTTTTATACCGACGGACAGACAGACGGACATGGCTATATCAACTCAGTTATATATGTATATTATATAACTATAGAATTTATAGTCTCTGACATTCAATTCGAGGTTTTTCAAACTTCCCTTAATATACCCTTTTTGGAGTTTATACAACCTAGACGAAGTTTGGATATTATCGCAGTAGAATAAGATTGGAGCAAAAGTCAAATACCATCTAAGCAATCAGTATTGAGTTAATCGACATTAACTTATGCTTGTGCAAAGCAACTACTTCAAAGCTTAATTGAGCAACCAAATGCAAGAAAGGATATACAAATATAAAATATACCAGGCTGAATTATTCAGATAAAAGAAAAAAATCGAAGATTTGTTCTTTAGCGTCATCCGCAAACTAGTTCTATTATCTTCTTCTTTATTGACATCGCTTACGCGATTAAAGCCGAGAGGTTTACACAAGTGAGGAAAGTTCTCTGTGCGCCATTCACTTGGAATTGGGCGGAAACGATTATATTACATATGGGCCAAGCAGCTCACGATTTTCGGTTTTAGTATCTTCTTTCTATGTAATCAAAAAATCACCCATTTGAAGCGAGCTAAAGTGAGAAGGCGAAACATTCTTCACCAGATATGGTCTTCAGTTTTTATTCAATCAAATGCAGTCAAGTTCATGATTATGCCAATGCTTCGAAATAGCTTACGTCTATTTAAACTGCGGCAAACATCTTGACTTTGAGTAAAAACAGATATCAGTTATAAACAACAAAAAATAAATTTACAGCTGACATCGATAGACCAACGTATTTTTAATATATTGTTGAACAATACTTATTTTTAAAATAATGAAATTTTGCCGGGCGCAGTTCGAAAATTTCACACAAAATATGGTCGAAATAATATGGCAAATGTGAAAATTACATAGTTGAAATGGCGGCACATTTAAATCTTGAGTTTATTTTGGGACACACTGTATACATTTTAACATGACCTCAAGCTTCTGTTCCTAGGCTATTATTGATAAAAAAATATACTGTTGAACATCAAATACAATTTGACAGAATAAATTAAATAGTCTTCCTTAGCTTTACTTAAGCTATTTAACATATCCACAGAAACATATGAAGACAAAACTTGGAAGCGTTAAGAGCAGCTATAAAATAAATATATCTGATTTTAAGTAATAACAAATCGATATTTTCAATAAAATTATATATAATATATAATTATATAATATCTTTTTTGTATAGGCCAAGTACGATGAAAGCGCTCCCGCCATTTTATTTGCGATTTGTGCGATTACAAGCGGAATTTTGTCGCTTTTCTTTCCGGAAACGACAGATGTTATATTACCAACAACAGTGCATGATGCACACATCATAGGCACAAAGCCGCCAAAAAATAAAACTGAAGTGAATGCTAATGAGAATTCATGAAGCTTTAACCACATATAATTAATTAAAAAAATGCAATTGTTACACTTTCAAAAAGTATATAATGAATTAGAGCTTAATAACAATAAAAAAAAAAAAACAGAATAATAAAAATACAAAAAATTGAACTGAAAATCATACACAATACTATATCATAATGTTAGCAAACGACTCTTATTAAAGGCGAATAACCTCACTTAAGCCGTTGACCGCAAAATTCATAATAAATATCTCGCGTAATATAAACTGACCCTAACCTAAGACAACTTTAAATATTTTTAAAATGTTTAAATGTAATTCAAAGCTGTTCACATGTGTACTAGATTAATTTGCACGTGTTCAGTTAATAAATGTTAACTGTATACTTGTCACAAGTGCCACAAGCTTCTATACCACAGTGCCTATATTTATAACGGCTTTTTATTTAATAATGACAAATAAGTATGGCTGAATTAGCATTTTTCAAACGAAGTGGTGTAATGGTCTATTAAACGCAGTAAGTACTATGTAAACATATATTCATTTCACATTTTTTATAACACATATGCTAACTTACTGTCTAAATAGAGCCTTTTTTTTAATTTCTCAGAATGTCTCGCTACCTTTTACTAGATATTTCAGGCACTAATTGTAATTATATGATGCTTATCATATGATCATATTATATTCACGGCGCTGCGTGGAAATTGAAAATCCCCGTTTTTTTTTGCGTTCGATTCGTGTGTCTGTAACTATTTAATTGGTTGATTGAGTCTGTAAAGCAATTAGTTCTGTGTACATTGACTCTAAATATTTTTTTGTTTAAGAAACATCAAAGCATCACTGTTAATATACTGCATACCACGCTTTCAGAAAAGTATATTGAGATCTTTTATTGATTTAAGAGGGTAATCTAATCTAGAAATAAAAAAAATTAACTATTCAAGAATGTGTCTACAAGAGGATTTTTCAAAATTCAAATTATTTTCGGTGATATAGGTATTATATCGGAGATATAGATAGGTATACAAACATATACATACATATAGTAGACATACGAAAAACTTTAAACGCGATTTTTCTCTAAACCGATATCCAGGATTTTTCAGGTTCTACTGATCCGATGAACTTTTGAAAAGTTTTCTTTATTTTATGTCTAGAGCTAACCATATGCCCAAATTTGAATTTTTACTATTTTTAAATGAACGCTCAAGTGCTCAAAAACAGTCATACGAAATTTTTTTAGATAATCGACATTTCGTGTAAAAAAACTTGTTCAACTTTTACTGAAAATCAAAAATAGGATAAACTGATTGAATTCAATACAAAATAGTTTGTGTGCATCTTATCTAAGTGGATTTAATAATTATTCTCTATCCCAACTTGATTATGCCAGTTCATTCAATTTATGCCAATTGTTTGTTCGATTCAAAACAATCTCTAAATTATAAAAAAGTATATAGGCGTTGAGGGAGCAATCTAAATTTCGTTTACTTTATTAAACAGTATAAAAAGTCAGCGTTTAACGGTTCTTATTGATATTCCCATCTACTTTTCGATTATTTCTTGCTTCTATAATATTTGAAGGTCTATGCATTTGATAGGTTGTTAAAACCTCTTTAAGGTGCCCACATTCCCCGCCATTGCACATGACATGCGAGTAAAAGTAATCAAAATAGTAAGGTATCCAAACAGAATATGTTAACAGTTCATTATCGTGGCTCCGGAGTAATGAAAAAATGCCAAATAACAGGCTTACATACTATACTATTCTGACTTAAATTATGACAGCGCGCGCTCACAAACAGACCAAAATATATACTTAAAGTAGCAGCTCGACTTCAACCGCGTATTCCCTCGAATTCAACCCACTCAGTTCGCTAATCCGCTTTTTGTTTGCATTCGCATTCTACACCTGCCGGTGAACAGACCGCAGTGTACGCGAAACGCTTCAAAATACTTTTTTTTACTCTTTCTATAAAGTTTGTGTCTTGCACGATTTGTATATAGATATGTCATTTTATTTGGAGAGTAGTGCTGTAATGTGTACGCTTGCGCAGCGTTAATGAAAACGTGCGTGGCGACTCAAAACTACTTAGGCGCAAATTCCTAGCAACAAGCGGGCGTGAATGGTAATAGTGAATGCTTGATTGAAATTTATTAATCGACAAATGAAATGTCGATGATTTTAATACAAAATTTGTGTACTTATGTGCGTTAGAGCACTTAATAGTCGACGATATTACTGTAATTGGCTTGTAATTGAAATACAATTAATGGTAATGCGCACATTTAGCGAGTTCTAAAATATAGAATGAGCGAAAATGTGACACGGTGAAAATAGTGAATAAAGAAAGGTACCAAATAAATTTACATAATAACAAAATGGAGCAAAAACTCACAAATAAAAGAAAACTTTCTTTAGAAATGTCGCAATAATTACTAAAAACTTCCTGTAACGAGGGCATACTCGTAATGGCTAAGTAAAAGATTAGCAGGCACCAAGCCTGTCCAGTGCTTAGGTGATACTCGTACCGCCCTGTAATGTAGTTTAATAGTCGCGAGGTGATTCCGAGGGAATCTGGCTGTCAGC